CCATCTCTTAATATCTCATCAGGTCTTCTTCTTCGTAGCTCAGAAGCTGGATGATGTTCTAGCATTTTCTGGATAGTCCATCTTATTTCATCTGGTTTTATAAGTCATTATGAAGAGTTTTGATTTTTGCGAATGTGATTGCTGTCTGTAGGTCATCTAATATTTGTATAATGGTTGAATAAAGGAGAAATTCATCTGGTCTAAAATGTTTCAAACTTGTATGTAATGGTTAAAATCACAGACGAATTGGTCCGGAATCTGTCCGGATTTTGTTGGTTTCTGCGGTTATTATCTCTTGATTGTGGTTAGTAGCGTCATTGTCTCGTTATAGTTGTGTTCATTTACACCTGGTTGTTTATACACCTTTATAAAATCTGCGTTTATTTGCGGCAAAATACAAATATTGCATACGAAAGCTGAACTTTTTACCTTTAAAACGAATCTTGATTTTTGTGGATATGACACTTGAATCAAAAGATATCGAATTTTTAACCTAAAGCTGATACAAATTTTATTGAACATTGATTTCGCGCGAGTAATTGACGTTCAAAATCGACGGTCGCTTTAAGCGTTGTTTGTGAGAGAACGGTTCATTTTACACAAAAAGTGTTCTTCTTCATGTGCCTTGTCCGTTCCGAATGTTGGCAATCAACATGGCTATTCTGACTTTGTTTACGGCAGATCTGAATAGTTCAGCAGATGACAATTCGAACCATTGCCGCAAGTTTTGGAGCCACGAGTATCTTCTCCTCCCTGGACCCCTTCTGCTGTCTATTTTCCCTTGAACGATCAGCTGTAGTACTCTATATTTATTATGTCTCATAACGTGACCCAAGTATTCCAACTTTCTTTTCTTTATACTTATTCCTACCTCTCTCTCTCTCTTTACCTATTCGTTGGTCACGTGCTCAGTCCAGGATATACGTAATATACGTCGGTAAGCCCACATTTCGAAGGCCTCTACTTTTTTCATCAATGTTGCGGTCATTGTCCACGCCTCCATTCCATATAACAAATCCGGAAATACATAAACGATGCTCTTGCCTTTTCTACTTTTATACGTATTTCCTTCGCTTGATCCCAATTTGAGTTAACTGTTGTTCCCAAGTAGATGTACGAATCCACGTGTTCAATTCTTTCATTGTCTAATATCAGTTGCTGTGGTGGTTGTTGGGTTTTGCTTATCCATTTGGTTTTTGTGATATTTAGTCTGAGTCCGTATTGCTCACTTATTTTTTATATCTTGTTCATTAGGCAACTCAGTTCCTCTCCATGCTACTTGCTAGAATCACAGTGTCATCAGCATACCTTATGTTATTAATTATTTCTCCATTTATCTTTATGCCTTCGGTGCTTTCCTCCAGCGCTGTCTTAAATACTTCTTCTGAGTATATATTAAAGAGAATAAGAGACAAGATACAGCCCTGTCGTACCCCTTTCTCGATCTCTATTTTATTGGTCAATGTAGATCCTACTTTCACTTTAGCTGTTTGATCCCAATAGAGACTCGCTATTGTTCGAATGTCTCTGTAGTCGACTCCGATCTTATGGAAAACTTCAATTATCTTTTCGTGCTTTACGTTATTGAGTGCTTTTGCGTAGTCTATAAAGCATATGTTCACGTCTTTGTTCATATCTCTGCAGCGCTGGATGAGTACCTGCAGACTAAAAAGTGCTTCTCTTGTCCCAAGAGAATTCCGAAACCCAAACTGCGAATCTCCAATGTTATCCTCGCATTTTTTGCTTATCCTGTTGTAAATAACCTTGATGTATGCCTTCGAAATGTGGTTAATTAGACTTATCATCCGATGTTGATCACAAGACTTTGCTTTTGGTTAATAAACCTTTTTGTTTAAAATTATCTCAACTATATTTTTTGTTCAAAAAAAATTTTTGCTGCCGCATACAGATTCTTGATAAATCGATTTTTTTGCGTTTTACCCACCTACGAGGGGAGTTTTAGGGGGAAACTCGGGGGGAAAGTGGTTAACTTTTTTGCATCTTTTTTGGGCTTCCAAAATTAATATTCTCGGTAAAATTCAGCTTGTCCGTAGGGTTTTTAGAGGTTCAGTGGCATTTTCGTTTCTTACGACCGGAGTATCAACGTTAACTTTAACTTCAATATCATTTTTTCGGTTTGTCCACTTTTCCATCTGTCCAATCTTATTTTTCACAAAGGCTATAGCGGGATAAGATGGTCAAAATTACACCATGCTAGATTCAGTTTTGGGCCTGGCCATTCGAAAGGACATAATTAAAAACTCACTCAGTTAAATTTTCAAGTCCCTAGGTGTCTCTGGGGGTTCGCTGTGGGAAAAAACGTATTTAAAAAAAAATTTTTTAGACTCTGTATTGCTACAAAAAATCTGAAAAAATTCATGAAAGCGTAGTTTAATAATACAATACTACCTGATTTTTTTCAGATTTTTTAGCTTGAAAATTGAGCGAAGGAAAAATATTTGAAATTTTCAGCAATATTTTAGGTTATGTCGGAAATTTTTGGCTAACTTTAAAACAATGTTTTTTTACGGGTTTTTCCCGTTCTTTCGAATGGCATAGGTATTATTATCATTTTCAACGTGGAAAATGTCTAAAAATCGAAAAAAACTGCTTTTTTTGACATTTTTCTGAAGCACCCCCACTCCTTAACAATAAATTGTATGGGCCCAGGAACAAAACAAAAACAAATCAGTATTACATAGAAAACAAAAAATTTATTTATACTGCCATAAGATACAATAATGTCAGTTTTTATAAAATAAAAAAAATATTAATAAAATAAACATAAATTATGTTTTTTAGTGAGATGGATGACTCATAACCTTAACAACATACACCTAAATTAATGATAATTCATATTTTTATATGTATTCTTACCTTTACAATTAAAATAAGCTATTAAAACTATCATTTTTTTTATGCAGCATGCTAAAAAAACGAAAAACCCCGTTTTTTGACGTTGTTTTTAAGCTTTCGCTATATAATCTCTAAATTCAGTGTCTAAATGAATGGTAAGTTACATTTTCACATGTATATTTCCCTTTACAATCAAAATCAGCTATTCAAAGCATTAGTTTTATCTCACAACATTCTGAAAAACCGAAAAACCCCAATTTCTCCATGTTTTTACTACATAACCTAAAAAGACTCTGAAAAATGAATCGTGAATGAGAACGCACTTGTACACTCAAAAGTTGTGGAATTATAAGCTAGCGAATATATTTCTTTATTTTTTTTTAGCATGCTGCATAAAAAAAAATAGTTTTAATAGCTTATTTTGATTGTAAAGGTAAGAATACATATAAAAATATGAATTATCATTAATTTAGATGTATGTTGTTAAGGTTATGAGTCATCCATCTCACTAAAAAACCTAATTTATGTTTATTTTATTAATATTTTTTTTATTTTATAAAAACTGATATTATTGTATCTTATGGCAGTATAAATAAATGTTTTGTTTTCTATGTAACACTTATTTTTTTTGTTGTGTTCCTAGGTCCATACAATTTATTGTTAAGGGGCGGGGGTACTTCAGAAAAATACCAAAAAGCAGTTTTTTTCGATTTTTAGACATTTTCCACGTTGAAAATGATAATAATACCTGTGCCATTCGAAAGAACGGGAAAAAACCTATAAAAAAAAACATTGTTTTAAAATTGGCCAAAAATTTCCGACAGAACCTAAAATATTACTGAAAATTAAATATTTTTCCTAAGCTCAATTTTCAAGCTAAAAATCTGAAAAAAATCAGGTAGTATTGTATTCTTAAACTATGCTTTCATGAATTTTTTCAGATTTTTTGCAGCAATACGGCGTCTAAAAAAAAATTTTACGTTTTTTCCCATAGCGAACACCCAGAGGCACCTAAGGACTTGAAATTTTAACTGAGTGAGTTTTTAATTATGTCCTTTCGAATGGCCAGGCCAAAACTAAATCGAGCATGGTGCAATTTTGTTATCCCGCTATAGCCTTATAAGTATCAAGCCCTCTTGTTCATTGTTAAAGTCTTGATTAAATTCAATTTAGTAGGTATACTTTTTTTGCGTTTAAAATGCAGTAAACAAAGAACAAATACAAAAATTGAATTGATCGAAATGCAGAGGGGCGTCTAAATCAAGAATTAGACATACCTAATATAAAATTAAATAAACGATTTGGGTACACTACAAGTATTCAGAGCAGCATCTTGTCCACTACCAGGCTTCGTTAGATTAGATTAGGTTGGGTTTTGATTATCCAGCTCATTTTTCTTGCATTTTGACCAAAATGCATTTGGTCAGCTTGATATAAAAAGATTATGTTTATTTAAAACACATCTTCAATATTTCAACTTTGACGTAATCGACTTCCTGGATTTTAATCAAAACATTTTAATTGCACCATCATTCCACTGAACTTCCTTCAACCTAAATTACCTTTTTGTGTCAGTATGTGAACGTTGTAATGCTATTAATACCGCCATAAAATCTTTTGTTATAATCCAACATTCTTTAAATTCCTACTTTATTACATGATTAAACTGTTGCCAGCGATTTGCAAATTGTTTATGTTAGATGTAATTATATGTCGTCAAAGTTTCAAATTTCAAGTTCTTAGCCGGAAATTAAACAAACAAAACAAGTGAATGAATATTCCATTTTGAGAACGTTTTTTAAAAGTAAAGAGAATATAATTATGTTAAAACGATTATTTGTGAATACATTTTTCTCCTTTTTAATATATTAAAGATACGCGAGGTGATCAAAAACTTCATGTTACCTCGTAACTCATGCTACGAGGGTACATTGAAAAATGTTTAGCTTACTATAGCCTTTTATGAAAACAGCCTGAACCTGGTCGGCTAAATTATAACAAAGCCAATTATGTCTTTTCTTTTAAAATCTATCTAAGCATTACTACCTAAATTCATTTCATTTCTCATAAACTTTATGTGCATAATTAAAATGTCGTCATGTTATTTAAAATAACAAAATACTAATCTTTTTTTTTCTTTTCAGAAAACTCCCTTTGCTAGCACAAGCGAGAAGACCGAACTTGGTAAATTTTATCGAGAATGGCAGAGAGCACCGCAATTGCAGGTCTTCGATGAAATACCGCCCCTTGACGAATCGATTATCAACAGACAGCTAGAGACTTTGGAGTTCGATTCAACAGAGTACGACACGATGGTCCAGTCGATTTGCCAGTCGTCGACAAATAATTAACTGTATTTTATACTATTTTAATTTGTATTTTACAGTAACATGTATTTGTCCCTTTTATTGGTGTGTTTTATTTTCCTTCTTATTTAGTCATACCGTCGCCCTTGAGCTACAGCAAGACAGGTCGAAAATTTTACTTTCTCAGAAATTTAAAAGAAATCATACGATTTCTACCTGGCGAAATCGAATTCAAATATAGGCCGCCGTGCTCCCTAAGACTTGCGAAGCAAACAGCTTGATGAATGCATCGGCAAGGGAGTCTAAAAATTGCACTCCAAATGCCGTTCATCATGGCCTATATTCATAATGAATTCGATTTCTGGTACTCCAAATGAAGTAAATAAACAAAACAAATGACGGTATTATATTTTGATTTGATACAGAGCAGCAACAAGCCGCATATACATACGTATTTCGATCTCTTTAGATCTTCTCAGTACGGTGTAGTTACTACTCCATATCAAACCAAAATATTTTCCCGTCGTAGATTATAGTTATTAAGTTATTATTAGTTATTATATGCGGCTTGTTGCTGCTCTGTATCAAATCAAAATATAATACCGTCATTTGTTTTGTTTATTTACTTCATTTGGAGTACCAGAAATCGAATTCATTATGAATATAGGCCATGATGAACGGCATTTGGAGTGCAATTTTTAGACTCCCTTGCCGATGCATTCATCAAGCTGTTTGCTTCGCAAGTCTTAGGGAGCACGGCGGCTTATATTTGAATTCGATTTCGCCAGGTAGAAATCGTATGATTTCTCTTTTTGTTCTTAGATGGCGTAGTTACGTCCGTAAATAGATATTTTTAATAACTATAATCTACGACGGGAAAATATTTTGGTTTGATATGGAGTAGTAACTATACCGTACTGAGGAGATCTAAAGAGATCGAAATACGTATATGCGGCTTGTTGCTGCTCTGTATCAAATCAAAATATAATACCGTCATTTGTTAAATTTTGTTATTTTTTTGCTAGAGGTAATAGTTTGTATACGTAGAAAAGGATCCCAATCTCTTCCTACGTCCGAAGAGGACGTTCGGTAGTTTGGTCTTTACTTGGTTTGGGCATACAGAAAGAATGACGGTTGGCATTCGACGTTTAAACGTTTTGATGAGACAAATAAAAAGAAGGCGAATTGGCAGAGAGGATAACATAACGAATTGACGGGGGGCTGAAGAAAAGAGGAATTGACAGATGCGATCTGTGACACCTATCTCACCAGTCACACTTGGCAGTAAATCAAAGAATGCCGCTTTTTTCTTGTTAATGTAGATTATGATTTACAGACAAGAATCAATTTTCTAAGGTGTAGTTATGAAATACTGCTGTTGCTACTATTACATTCATAGACACTTTCAAATTTAATTTCATTCGATTTTTAAAAATTGGGAATCATCGTTTCCATACTCTATTGCCTTTCCACAACATTCCTAGTTCGTATGGGAGATTCATTATAAAGATTTTGTGCTTCTGTTTTAGCATCTTGTCTAGCTGTCATCAAATATGATATCCAACTGTAACCACCCTGATCAACTATAAAAAAAATAGTACAAACCTAATAAAGTATGCAGCTTCAAATCTTTGTATGCCGCGGTTAGTAAATCTTGATTGGACATGTACAAAATCCAAATATTTTGCAACAATATTTCTAATTTGTAAAGTAGCCACTCATTTGTTTAATATATTTTCAATTCTTGAATTGAAAATTGAAGTAAGAATCGTGGACATAGTGTATTGTTGGTTGCATAACTTGGAGTGTCAGTCTAAATTTAGGTGGATGCGCTCACGGTTCGTAGACTTACTACGGTTGCCTCTTCCGACTGGGGTGGGGATGCTTGAGTTACGTCACAGGAGTACACAAGAATACAAAACCCATTTATTCGCGATTGAAACTAAATGTAGAGGGCAGGTCGATTGCAGTGTCATGGCCGATATAAACAAAAACAAACATAACATTCGAATATTTACCATTGCTTTTCCATGTTTAGTTTGGTTTAAGACGAGTTATTTGTATCATTTAATAATGGAAATTAACCTTAATGATATCTTTGAGTATTGTGGTGAAGCAAAGAGTCAGTCCATTGGTTGAAGGGGAAGCAGTTTTCAAGTGATGAATTCCTAAATTTTAACTTTAATGTTTCGAACTGGCTTGTGTATTGATGACGATGAATCCTATTTTGTGTATACCTGGGAACCCAGAATATAATATTCTGTGTAATGTTTGCCTTAACGTATATATGCATTATTATACCTTATGTTTTTAATATGTTAATTTTTATTTTATACTATTTTTTGACATATGTAAGTACTTTATTGTATATTAACATAAATAAATAACTTTAACTTGGCTTTATTGTAAAATAGTTCATTTGATTACATGAAATATGAAATCAACCTACTTTATTTATAAAACATTTTTGTTTTGATACATTCATAGGGCTGAATGTTAAGATTCAAATTACGTCACAGGAGTACAATCCGGCTTAACGTTCATTGGTTAGGCGGAAGAGGCAACCGTAATAAGTCTAGGAACCGTGGATGCGCTTGTACCTAGAGCATCCAGTAAAAAGACAAAAGAGGGAATCTAATCCTTATGAAAAGGAGACCAAAAAAGTGGCCTCTGATGGCGGACATATCCGGAAATGCGAATGCGCCAAATTTAAATTTTCAGACACTTATTAACAGTAGCTGTATAATATTTTTCAGAATGTGTCTTAGGCGAGAAAGTTTTAATTAATTATTAACGATAAGTCTAAAATGCGACACAATTGTTAAAAAACTTCAATATAAATAAGATTTCATGTGACATTTGGGACAAACAATAACATAACCCAACTAAATTTGATGTCAAACAAGGAGAGAGACTCTCTTTCCTTGTTTAATGTGGCCTCTAAAGATCGCTCTTCCTGTCTAACAATATTTCTGCCCCCACTACCTTTACATTCCCTCTTTTGTCTTTTTGCTCGATGACCTAGAGGCACAGAATAATAAACAATCAGAATGCCCACTCTCAGATGCCGCCTTTGAAGTTTTTCAGCACGCGCGCCATGTTTTAGAAGGAAACACAGACACAAGATTTGTGAGGTTATGTAATTGTTTATATTTAATTGTATTAGATTTATGTTATTATATTTAACAATGTTAATATAATTGTATCGTATGTCTATGATTGTCGTAAGTCAATTAAACCGCGTTAATTTTTCTATGCACACCACATAAATAACACTGGTTCCCTCTAAAACATGGCGGAACGTATGCGCGTACTTAATTTTCCATGGAGAGTGGGCATTCTGATTGTTTATTATTCTGTGCTAGAGGTCTACCTTCCATTTTATATGTTGGTCACAAAATTAGGTTTGATTATTAACTTTTGTCTAACTAGTAGGAGCCGGTATACAAAAATGATGTCTATAGTCGGCTCGCCATTCCCAGTTTGAACTGTCTAGTGAATTTAGCAATTATTTTTTTGCGAAGTTAGTTACTTTTTGACAGACTAGAAGTGGTTGGAGATTACTATACAACCAAGCACACGTACTCATCGCCAATATTGATAATAAACAAACTCAATAGTAAATAAAATGGAACTTTACGAATTACCGACAATCAATATTGATTTATTTGCACCATATAATAAATACTTATGACAACTAAATATATTTTTTAAATATATACTACCCCAAATTTAATGAGTTTAGTATATAATTACATTATTTATAATAATTCTTCTTTTTTCAATCAAAGAAGTCTCTAATAAAAGTTTATTGAAGTTGTTAATACTGTGAGCTAGGAACTTTTGTGTTGTAGGTTTCCAGCTATGAATCTGTCAAAATATGTCCGAGCTGAACGTTGAACGAATTGACGCTAAGCCTGACCCACTATTATATGCAGACTTGCGCAGTTCATTTGTATTCATTTCTGAATGTGTCAATTAGGTTTATAATATCATTTCATTAAATGACGAATAGTTCCTCGAAAAGCTCTGTTTTTTTAAATATTTTTTGTTGCGCATATGTTTCCAATAAAAATGTGTTATACAGAGTGTAATGTCATGTAAATACTGATGCCAACTTTACTATCTTATATGGAACACCAGATATATTATTTAGTTATTGGATCCAATACAAAATACAAAGAACTTTATCAATATATTGGATTGCTATGCTTTTATTTAACTGTTTTTATTATATAATGTATTAAAGCCACAATCCCTTCTACATTAACTTTTAAATATATAGCCTGTAAGATACCTACTTATGTACATTCCATTTCACACCTGGTAAAAATATAGGCAGGTTTCATTTATTTGACATAATATCTATTTTAAAAGAATATAGGTACTATATGAGTACTATATACATTATTAAAAACAAGTTAGATACGAAAATGAACTTACTCTTCTTTATTGAAATTAGGTATAGAACCTTTTAAAGTCATAAGGAGACACGCAGAGAGTGATCTATTTATTAACCACCCTGTATCCTAAAATAAGTTAATTAAAACTATAACATGCAATATATCAAAATTCTGGGAATTTTGTGCATAATCCAAAAAAATTATAATATACCTAACCAATGTTTCATTTAAAATAAGAAAGTGGGTATCATAGTAATTGATATGCAACATCAGTCAACATCCTGTATATAACATAACAAATTTTTATTGGAAAAAATGCTCAAAAAGTATTTTTTAAAACTATTTTAAAAAACCTTTAATTTTGATTTGCTATTATTTACTATTAATTTTAGAGTTATTCTTATGCAACCAATAATAAACATAAACCTCATTGTCACATTCAGATGTGAATAAAAATGAACTGCGCAAGTCTGCACAGAATAGTGGGTCAGGCTCTAGACACTAGTCGAATTGACCTTCAGAGGTCATTAATATAAATTATGATTCGTCATTAATAGATGTTATTCGATATAAGATTGATAGATAGAATATATTATTTAGATATTACAGCACGAAAAGAAATGGTGTTGTGTGTATATTCAAACAGTTTCATGTTGAATCATTAAACTCAACTCATTATATTTAAAATTGTAACCAGAGTTAGTATAAATTTTTATAGTTGTATGTCTTCGACAACGATTGTGTCAAAAATCCCCAAGCTCAACAGAGCGATTATAAATAATCACATAATAAATATCACATGTAAATCATCATATTTATTGCAATAAGGTGATATAATACCTTAAATATATACAAAAAATTAAATTCAATGATATTTAACTCCATTTAAAATTATTACTAATTGTTTAAATCATGTCCAGTTATCATCTTCCGTAAATGTTCTACTCTTTTTGCTGTGTGCCTCCATCTCTGGCTCTATTGTCATTTTTAATAGGGCATCATCTCTGAAAATAAACAATAATTATGTAATGCAAGTCAATATAGTGGCTTTACGGATTAAGTATGTTAAATATGGTCAATATTAATGTATACAGCCAGGATATGGATATGTAATACTGTGTTAAATAGCTTTCGTGTTGATACTGTGAAGAGTGTCTATCGTGATAACATAGTGTAACCGACAAAGTGATACTCATGGCACATTTTAACACCACCAACACTAACGCTGGGCCCATAACGGTTTCTTAATATTGTTCTGAAGCAATTTTCTTGTGGCATTTTAAATTAATTACTATTTAACTGGGAATAAGCCACAATTAAAGATAAAAATACGTTTATTGACGTTTCAATTTCCACTTCGGAAATCGTTCTCAAAATACAAATAGTAAATTGATTTACTGGAATTACCCGCATACAACTATCTTAGCACTATTTATTTTGAACAATAAAACACTGTTTAGAGAACGAAGGGTTGCTTAAAACGCGACGACTTACATGCCTGTTTTTTCCCTCTTCTGATTTTTGGGCACCGGCGACTCTGAACTCTTCCTCTTTTTAGAAGGAATCGGAGATGAAATAGCTTTCGGAGGCTTGCTTCCGTTCAACTGCATCTTTCTCTCTGCGAAAGTTTTGATTATATACCCATCGCCTGATTTTAAGGTAGTGTAACATATCTTGGCTTCGTCTCTTTTGTGTAGCGCCACGTAGGCTGACGTTTCGTCAAGCCAGGAGACATATACATTACCTAAAATGACAAAGTAGTTAATAAATTGCTTGTAAATTTAAGATCAAGTCGATTGTAATAGAAATTGTAATATTTTTGAATTATGTCAATAATTAGTTCATTACATCTAATAAAACATACTCCGGAGCAGACATTCATAGTGATCACAATTCAGTTATAATGGATTTTAGACTAAAAAGACTTCTGAAACTTACAAGAGAAAAAGTAATAAGCAAAATAAACACCACATAATTGAAGAACCCTGAAATTAGCATTTCCACCTTCTTCACAGCCAAATTGGGCTAAAACACTGCTGCCACATCCACCATATTTTCCAGATTTGGCCCCCTGCGACTTCTTTTTGTTTCCAAAATTAAAAAAGTCACTCGCCTGGCAAAAATTTATGTCGAATGGGGGGGGGGGCATTACCTTCATAGAGGCCTACTTTGCAGACCTCGTGAAAAATTATTTTTCAGACCGGTTAAATAAGTTAAGGCATCGCTATGTCAAGTGTATCGAGCGAAAATAAGACTATGTTGAGTAATAAATCGCCGCTTTTCTAAATCTTCGTTTTTCCGTTGTAGATTAAATACTTATTCGACCACCCTCGTATGTTATGGTATTTTGATTTTGTACGAAGATTCTCAGCACCTTCTGTTCTTCTCCTTATCCAGTTGCTGTCAAAATAACCTCACTAAGACTTTCCAAGATTTTGTAGACTGGATACCTTACTTAACTTAAAAAATTCGCCTAGGGAAATCGGATAACAACCTATCACGTTGACCTATGCAGGTTAATATGAGATGATCACTAATATACATCATATTCAAAGTTAAACATTCTCATTAAACATTCTAGTTTCAAAATTATTATGTTAACAGAAGACATTTCATCATAACTAAGTGTATGACTTACCAAAGGGGCTAAATAATTGTTGAAGGTTACTCAGCTTCCAATCTTCCGAAAAACTTACATAAAATACGTGATCTCTTGATACTAGATCTAAAAGTTATATAAATTAGGGAACTTATTTTGATTAAAAGTTTATACATTCATCAAAAACACAATTCCTCATTAATATTAGTTTATTATTATTTGATCCCGTTGATATACAATATACTACAGTCCCTGTTGAAATTATTTGACTCACGATAAATATTTCAGTTTTTTTTTAAATTTCAAGCACCTTAAAAGTATCTTGACAGTAATACAGAGCTGTTTAATGGGTTGCATAACAATTAGTGAATAATCATCCTACATAATGATGGACCCCCGGAGTGATGACGTAGATTTGATTGACATCTGTCAGTTTCACTTTTCAAACAAACGTTGTTTAGTGTGGATAATTTGTATTTTTCGTTATTTTTTAATTTTTTTACAGAATCTTTCCGCTTTTGTAATATTTAAGTTTTCTAATAGTTACTACAACAATTTTACAAGGTTGTGTAAATAATAAAGCATGTTGTTTTATAAAAATAGCAATAAAATGCATACATCAATAAAGTAAGGTTAGAATTTCCTTAATGTATACTTTTAAACTATATTTTCATAGAAATAGAACACTGAATTGTGATGGTATTATCGTAAAAAACACTATACTTAAAAGAACAATTAGCAGAGGAAGCAAAATGTTAACTTTATAGAAATTAAAAAGTCTTGAGATTTGACATTTCTCAACTTTTGTTTGGAAAGTAATGACAACAATATGACAGATGTGACGTCACACTCCGGCTGTCCATTAAGTTAAAAGTGGTAGAGCTTCTTTATTTAACTGTCAAAAATTGACAGATGGCAATACAATGTGCTAAATACTAAAAGCAGTGATATGGAAGAGAGGGGATATGACATACGGTAAAGTAGATAGGTTCGGTTTCGCCATATTGGATAGTAGGGAGTTAAGTGTAAGGCAAAACGTTGACGTTAACGTATAATTTGACAGCAACTCGTGCGCAGTAGAGGAATACACACATCCTTAACGGGTCTCCGTAACCTTGCGTGCGTTTACGAATTCCCTTAACGTTATCCAAATTGTTCCGAGTATTACTGAATGTCTGTCAAATTTGGTTATTTGGTCAAATAATTTGGTTAATTTCTAATCAAAAATCAGAACCGTTAATATCACAATTTTTTTGTGGGCCAAAAGTAACACTACAAACTTTTATTATTGGTATTCATCTCGGGCGTTAATGGGTTAAGAAACAAAAAAAAAGTGACTATAATCAGATTGAGCAGTTTGGACCTGTAAAATGATGATCATGATGGTTCAAGGCGATAAATCATATTTAATAGCCTCTTGGCGAATACCGTCAGAACACGTGCGTGTCAGGCTATTTGTTAGGAATTTGCAATGTGAATAGGGTTTAGGAGAGTTGCTGTACTTGGTCTTAAAACCAAGGGTAGCTTAACAAAATATTAATATTGTAGTAATTATGTGATAATTTCATTTTTTTTTGTGCAATAACTATAAAAAAGTTTCGATATTATCATTTATATAATCCTCTTATATAATTATTATTTATAATTGATTATGAAACAACTAAAACAAGAATTTGCTGAGCCTAATAACATGAGCAGGGACTGTAGACAAGTTTTGATTGAAAATATATAAGATTCTTTGGTCAAAACAAATAAACTGCTTTGATAGATACGAATCAAAACATAGACAGTAAAAGAAGTCAAATCAGTTATGAAACTCGTAAATAATTTACATCTAAAGATACATTTAGATTCTAAGTTCGGCCAAAAATGCCTATTAACGTTTTAGAATTATTTATATCAGTAAAATTATCATATAAAACAATTAGAAACTTACGATCATCTCCGGCTAAATTGATATATTGGTTATCTGACAAGTTCATCAAGAATAATCTAAAATAAATCGAATTCAATAAATGCTGGCTACAAATCTATCTAACATACTTATTGATGTATGGTTCCAAAAGATCCATGCTGTTGAAAGTCTTAGGATCAGTCCGATTGTCAAGTAAACCTAAAAATATATATACAGTACATATATATGAAACCAGTGTTACCAGTGGCTGGGCATGGAAGGATGCACCTCCCTGTCAAAAATTATGCGATTTTGTACAAAATTATGCGCTCTGTTGTAACCTTACTGTCATCTGTCACGTCATGTCAATTGTCATTGTAAAGGCCGTATGACACTATGCATTTTCTTGTATCATATCATATATCGTTTCTGATATAGGAAGTTATTTATGTTTTCTTGTATCTAAGTCTTGAATATAAAATTTTCTTCGATAAAGTAATTTTTATTTGCTAAAGACAATGACGTGTTGAGTTTACCGAAAGTACAAGCTGATTATAGCCACAAATGTCAAACATAGAACAAAACTTTCTCTATAGCAGTGTTGGCATGTTTTTGTAAATGTAGATGCTGTATACTTCAAATATAAAAAGATAAAGCTTTAGAAAAGTACATTTTGTTTATATTATGTTATGACTTCTGCAATTTTTGATTTATATAAAACAACAATGAGTAAATATTTGTTTCTTTGGAGATTTATTGCAGTTAATAATTAGACATTTTTTAGCAATTACCCTTTGATAGATTAGAGGATAGATTTGGCAATCGTCAAATCAGCAGTTGCCAGATTACAAAAAAATTGCAATTAATCTCAAAAAAGACAAATATCTACTCGTTATTGCTTCATGTAAATTAAAAATTGCAGAATTCAATAAATGGTATAATCAAAATGTACTTTTTAAAAGCGTTATCTCTTTATATTTAAGCATACAACATGCGTTATAAAACATGCCAACACTGCCAAACCGAAATATTTTTGACATTTGCGGCTATATTCAGCTTGTATTTTCGGTAAACTCAACCCAATTGTTTATTATTTTGTGGCTGTGTAAAATGTCAGCACAAACGTTTTCTTTTAAAACAAACAAGAAGACGAGTACTCTTATTATAAACTGTGGCTTGTCATTGTTTTTTTTTATTTGCTGGATTGTGCGAAATTATGTGATTTTATGCAGGATGCGAAAATTATGCGCCGGCAACTAAATTATGCGCAAATCGCATAATTATGCGCCGATTGGCAACACTGTATGAAACACCAATTACGGTGAGGTGTGCGGAATGAGGTATTTTCGCAACGACTTGTTCTACCTGCGATACAATTGAAAGGTTGATATTGATTTAAAGTCGAATTTGCGACACATTACTAACAAGCCATAAAAAAATGGCACTTGCTTAATCTAATCTACACACCTTCCTTCTTTGGAAGGTTAGTTACTCTTACGCAGGGAATTAAAAAATTAATTTAAACATAACCTGACTTTAGACACAATTATTTGGTTTAATAACAAATTTAAAGAATATTAATTACCGTAAACCGGGGCCTTTGCCCCGTTTTTAAAGGTCTCTAAAGAATTTTCAACAAAATGTTTATCCCCTAAAAGTAGAAGATTCTGGCAGCTGCTCGTCATTTGCTGTAGTGGAGGTCGTAGGTTCCTCAATTGATTCATCAACGCACACACTTTTTCCAGGAGAAATGTTGATTTTCTTTCTGTTATTCTTTGTAGTGTTAGTTGACAAAGATCTTCGTGTTTCAAGTATTTGAAGAAATGCGGATTTACAATATCTGTGTTGTTTGAACTTCGAGGTATACGGGTTAAAGCTTCCTCAACATTCAAAATTTGAAACTCCAGCCAATCAGTAAATATATTGCTATCAAACCACCCATAAGAACTAGCGTTATATCGACATCCTTTTGGCCCATTTTCTGTCCATGTGGTCCACATCTTGCTGGCTCGATAAACAATATATGGAGGCAACAGTTCTCCAGCCGCATTTCCTGCAAACATGACGGAAATTGAAGTCTTCGATGCATTTCGAATTAATTCAGGATACTTCCAACCTTTCTACATGAGTACCCTCTTTTTTCCTCCTCATCCTTTTCCTCATCGTAAGGTTTGTTCCATCAAAATTCCATATGTTCCTTGAAGGCACCTCTAATATTTCGGTCGTTAAATTTTCAAAGTAGCTCCTTATCGCCTTATTTACTGCGGCTCTCGTACGCTTGACATTCTCAGCGAAGCATCGAGATATACCTGGATTTCTGTTAATGAACGATTTGGCCCATTCTAGACCAGGCAAATTATTCTGGAAAATCCTAACTTCCCTACCACATCTGTCCAAATAATCTTTAATAATGTGACGCAATTCTGTTGTATCTACAGGAAAGCCTAACTGTCCCAATGCAACAATACACTGAACAAAATCTTCTTCTTCTTGTAAAGAAAATATGGGCTGTTTTCCAGGTTTCCTTAGGTATCTTCCTTTAAGTTTATTTAAAATTGTTCTTCTTTGATATGTTGTATTTTTGATATAACAAGTCCTACTTCAGAGATGCCGCGATGTCAGTTGTGATGTCTATATTTGTTTTATTGACTACGCCAAGGCATTTGACCGTTTTCAGCACCAAAAGATGGTCGCCGCCCTACAAAAGGTAGGATTGGATGAGAAAGACCATCATGAATTTATACTGGAACCAGCAAGTCAAGGTCGAAGACCAGCTGACCGACCAAGTGAAGATCATGCGAGGAGTAAGGCAAGGATGTGTGCTATCGCCGACTCTTTTCAATATATACTCTGAAGAAAATTTTTACTGAAGCCGTCGCAAGCCAAGAGATGGGAATCCAAATAAACGGTAAATACATAATAATATCAGCTACGCCGATGACACTGTGTTAATAGAAACCAGCCTAAATGATCTACAAGCCTTACTAGACCGAGTGAGAGCTATGAGCGTAGCGTAGCGAAGAGATGCAGAGAGTAGGACCTCGGAACTACACTCAACTCACAGTGGGACTATGCTCAAGAGATCAGATACAGTTTTGAAATGGCACGGTCTACATTTATCAAGTTGAGATCCTTGCTGTGTTGCAGTGATCTCAGTTTGGGAACCAAGATGCGGATAGTGACGTGCTACATTCTTCCAGTGTTACTATATGAAGTTGAAGCATGGACACTGACGTAAGCCACAGAAAAGCGGATTAAAGCCTTCGATATGTGGATCTACAGGAGGATACTAAAAATATCGTATGTGGACAATGTCACCAACGCTGAGGCCGTATAGCGCATGACAAAAGAAAAAGAAGTGCTTAATTTAGTGAAACAACGTAAGCTTAAGTATCTCGGCCAGGTGATGCGAAACGAAGAACAATATCAAATTCTTTAACTCGTGATGCAGGGTAAAGTATTTGTCAAGAGAGGACCGGGATGCCGTCGTATCTCGTGGTTGAAAAACCTCCGACAATGGTTTGGGATGACATTCGCGAAGCTGTTTCGCAGAGCAGTCAACAAAACCATGATAGCCTTGATGGTCGCCAACATGCGGACCGGATAAGGCACTAAAGAAGAAGATATAATAAATCTGTGACAATATTGATTTCATATAAAACAAACTAAATTTTCTGAAATAAAATGAATGAAAGTTCAGTGTTTAAACCTGCTCTGCGAACCCTGCTCACCAAAATTGGTATTTGCTGTACATGCATAGGAAAAATATGCCCAAAAATTATCGACTATAACCACAAAGTCGATACCGTCAATTTATTAGGTCTACTTACCAAGATGCTTCCACATTCCTATAAAAGAAAGACCGGTAATGAATGCGTCATAGCCTGCTTCATGTTCCTTACTATCGTTCATTTCATAAGCTCTACCCTCTTTCTCAGGAACTACAATTAAAACATACACACAACATTAATTATAACATAACAAAATAACAAGTAATCACGTACCAATTTGCGGAAGTCCAAAAGGTCTTTCTGATACTGTATCCAATAAATGTTTTAGTACAGTTGATTGAATCAGGTCTTTAAATAGTCCACTGCTCGCCATATATTTGGTATCGAGCACCCTAGAAGTATAAATAAGTAAAAATATCACCAATAAATAATAAAGATCAAAAACATTTACAATGAGGTCGTTTAGAACAACATATTGGTTATATTCCTGAAAATATCTGTTCTGATCATCTCGATAATCTCTGTTAAATTTTGTTTGGAAATATTCAAAATAATCCAATAAATAATAATTTAAAAGTTTACTCGAGTACCAAAAAAAGTCCTGTTATCTCAAGGAAAATTCTGCTTATACTGACCACTTTTTTTGCCCATTTGCATCAAGATACAACAAGATCAACAATCTGAGAAAGTGGTATAATTGCAGTCCCATCAACTTCAGAGCTGCAATCTCAAAAGTGAAAATAGCTGTGATGATTACCAACCTTCTTAGAGGAGACAGTACCTAAAGAAGAAGATCAAGATACAAACTACGATTCTACATGTTTTCCAGGTCCCTTTTATTGTAAGATATATCTTACAATATATCTACGATTCTACATGTTTTCCAGGTCCCTTTTATTGTAAGATATATATTTCGGTCAGATAGCTCAGCGGGCTGTGCGGCTGCCTCTCATTCGCTTCACTGTCGAATGGTTTAGTGGATGTGGGTCGAGCCCCAGCTCGGTGTACAGAAAACAAAAAGTCTAACGCAGCAGTTTAAAATTCTAGATGAATCTGCGGCTTAGACTAGGATATGCTGGATTCTGATCGGCCTATGGTGGAGCAGTACGGCAAGAGATAAGGGCTTGCGGCTCGGTGATACTCCTCCATAGATCCCTACCGGACGGGCGTAACGCCTAAAAAACCGGATATATATATATATATATATATATATATATATATATATATATATATATATATATATATATATATATATATATATATATATATATATATTTAAGGTATCATTTCCTCACGAAATGATATTTGGTAATTCGAATATTCACATGATTTAATTGGTTAAAGACGGACATCTTGTATATATCAATCAATAAAAGATTTGTACATAAATAAGCTTTCTGAATATATGAATATCCTTGAAAGATGTAGTATGTGGGCTTTCTTTGAAAAATAATCGCTGCAACAAAATGTTCTGGTGGAAAATTATGTAAAACGAATGTATTAATGATGTAATTAATGATAATTGTTTTTTTTAAATCTGCTATTAATGTTTTTTAAAGTACAAAAAAAATGTCAAGTAATATGTGACAAGAAATTTTTGAACTATTCTATTTTCCTTGATTTGTATAAATTCTTTGAAATTAAAAATATTAAATTAATTTTAAATGATACAATTTTTGAATGATATTGATATATTGATTGATATATAATTATCTACTTACCGAGAAAATAATTTGTGACTCATCTGTTTAAACTCTGTATATGATTCTGGTAATGGCATAAAAAACTTGTCAATCGTATGGAAAAAGTCTAAGCATAAGTTATGTCCAATTATTAATTTCCCCTAAAAATATGAGAACATTAAAAGATCTTACAAAGCAGAAAAAATTTACTTCAGTTTAATGAATTACGAGAGTCACCCATTTCTCATAGCTCCACATGCTATATGTTGGACAGCAACAGACTAAACACTTGACAAGCAATTTTCTTATAAATTGTTTTAACCATGAAAAATTTTATGTCGATTGGAAAATTTAATCATTTCTACTTGGGTGTTTCTTAGGGAAAATATTTTATACCTGAACAGATTAAGAAAATACCCACATTACTGTTTTATTAAAATTACTGCAAAATTTGAGAAGAAAAATTTCAAATAATTTTGAAATTCGTCACTGACTTATCACGTTATGTCATAGGATATGCTGTTTAATTACGCGATTTTATCATCTTTTATCAACGTCTGTTTGCCTTGCAATTTTTAGAAGGCTCAGATTATAAGCAGAAATCTGAATTGTGTTTCGAAACTATTTTACAGATTTTAAGTATTTTTAATTTCCTAATAACCAGCACTGACATATCTGGTGGCCTACAGTCCCTTAATTTCTAAAACCAATAGTAGATGCAGTGAAATACTTGCGCAAAATACAGTTACATCTAAAACTACATCTCTAATAATTGATTTAAATCATTTAATTTTAAATTTACACTCTCTAAATCAATACAAAACTTACTGACTTTATCAGCACTTTCAGAAGTTTGCTGAAACCATAAAAATTATCTAGTTCTTTTAAATTTTCTTCATATCTCTTCCTTGCCAGTTCCCTTTCTTCTTCTGGGCTTTTTAATTTTGTTACAAATAACACCCTGTCTTTATCTACTTGTCTTGTTTCTAAGTAAATTTGATTTGAATACTTTTCCTCCTTAGTTTGGTATATTAATTTCCTAAAGAATGCATTACATTTGGGAAGCTGCAATTCTACTTTATCGCTTGTGAGGAAACTTTCTATTTTTGATCTAAAAACAACAAAAACGCATCAGTTCAATAGCTTAATCAATTAAGTAATACATGGACATTTATACATCCATGAAGTAATATGTACTTACTTAATATCATCAATAAATGCTACTGCGTTATCTGGTACTTGTATAAAGTCACAGCTGTCTTCACTTTTCCTAGAACCAATTCCCTCCAAAACTGTTTGATAGGATTGTTCAATGTTACTTTTGTAATTGTCATATTCTTCTTCAGTTAAATAAGAAATACCTTCCTTAAAGAGCTTATTAAAATCGAATCCATGACTAATTAGAAAATCAATACTAGAAGATTGGCATAAAAATCTTATATCAGGTACATTTCTGTTAACAGGTCGTCTAAATGTGTAAAAATTATATGTTTGGTGTTTAAAATTGTTTTCACGTTCATCATACCTAAAACAAAAGAAGAGGAAAAGGAAATTTATTTTATTTAAATCACTGCATATTAGCTATAAATATATTTATTAAAGATGGGAGTATTAGAAAACTGGAATCCAGTAGTATCTGATTCCTTACAGAATCAATTGTACTCAAGTACTCGAACTGGAAACCAATTGAGTACTGAGTACTGAACTAACTGAATACCTGCCGAATCACGCCGAATATAGAACAGTTGGAAATTCGAGTAATGTTTGGGTCATTCTGAATTTATCTGTCCCTGGGACCTTGGTTCCATCTGAAAGAGTCTTCTCGAAGGCAGGGCAATTAACAAATGATCGCCAAAACCAACTATTACCAAAAAACTTAGACAAAATTATATTTTTAGACAGTTTTTATTCTTAAGATAGTTTTATCTTTTTGGAATGTATTCTTTTATTCTTTAGAATGTATTTTTATTTTATTTATACTTCATTTTTATTTTTAATGTTCATTTAATATTTAAACTGTTTTTTATTTTTTAGACAATAGTAGAATACTGAAAGTTTTGTTATTAGCTAAATAATTACTTTAATTATGCCGAAAACTTATACCAAATATATAATACCAAACACTCTTTTATTAGAATAATTCTATAGATATGTCTATTTTTTGTAGTACCTATCTAGAATGTCTTTATTTGTTTGTCAAAATTATATTTATTATAAAACAAAAAAACATACGCAAAAAACACAAATAATTGAAAAATCATAGATAAAGATTGACAAACCTACTATTAATTCAAAATCTGATATCCACAGTACTCGGTACTTAGTACTCAATAAAGTATCTGATTCCTTACTGTACTCAATTTCACGGTAACTGATTCCCATAAGTAATCGATTCTGACCATCACTAATATTTATTCTTACACTGACAATAAAGAATAACCAAAGAAAAGCAAAACTCTGTATGAAGTGAAGCAAGTGTTATAAAGTGTACGAAAGCACAAGTATTTAAATACACGCACTGTAGATAAAAAGAAGAGGTGGTTTTAGAAGAAAACCTTATTAAGAGAAATATATAGAAGTATATGCTGTAAATTGTTTCAAGAATATGCCCAGGCAGGAAAACCTTCAATTACATGTTAGAAAAGGTTTCAGTACTTATATGTTGCCACAAACACAGATATAGAATATACACAAAAGAATCCTTTATCTACTTACCTAAAAGCACTTATTCCATATTGTAAGACCAAAAAGTCTTTACTGTTAATTCTCATTTTTGAGTAATACTCTTGTGGGGTATCAAAAGCCTTTATATTTCTAACAATATTGAGTCCTGATAATTCACAATCTATACTTATAAATAAACTAGCATTAATAGCTTCCTCTATTTCACTAAAAAGTGATTTGAAATCTAGAAAAAAAACATTAACTTCAAAATATTAAGATTGAAAGGAATAATTATATTCTTACTTGAATTTAGGACTTCCATTATTTAGGAAATGGGTGACTTTATTATACAAAAGTTTTAAAATCTAAATTATTCCTTGATAATACCAAAGAATCGTCTATATTCTTTGATAATACACCGCTTTTTAACCTTAATAATATAAACAGTGTTAACTCCAAAACTGAATATTTCCGTAGAGGGCGCTTCAAAAATCCGTAGAAATCCGTAGAACAGACATAGCAATTTGTATGTGTGTCTCAGCCACAATGTCCACAATATGACGAACGACGATGCAACACTGACTGCATACATTGAGGGATCAATTCAATTGAAAATAAAATGTATGCTACATGACTCGAGGTGTAGGGTGTTTCAATAATTTACTAAGTACATACTTGTTTATGCAACAAATTTATTTGACAAAATATATCTTAAACAGAAACATTCATATTCCAAGAAAAATAAAAAAACTAGATATAAAAAATATACAGAAAAAACAAATACCTATCTAACCGAATAAAAGCAACAATTAATCTATTAAGCCTTATCCTCTTCCTCGGATGATGACAATACTTTTTTATGATCGTATAAAATTTTACTTTCCATATTAATAATGACATTTTTATCTATTGTTTAAATAAAATATATTTTGTCTGCATCGTTAAAGTAGATTTCGTATTTATGTTAGGGCGGGGAGTCCCCAATGTAAATCTCAGCATTCCATCTGAGATCACTGTTATTCCCCTAAGCGCCGGGGATTCACCAGTTACGAAAATTGAAATTCATCCCTACTCCTACTATTACACTACAAGTAGAGTTATTTTTCACGGCATTACAGAGAACGAGGACTAGATGTCAATTAATTATTTGATTAATATGTCTATTTCTGTAAAAAGCTAAGAGTAAAAATTCTATTTTTATAAAAAGCTAAGAGTAAAAAATCCCAATTTTATTCTTGATTTCTTCAGCTGAAAAATCCGTAGAAATGTGATCGATATCCGAAAATCCTAAATAATTTCGAAAATCCGTAGATCTACAGATAAATCCGTAGAGTTAACAACACTGGAAAGTAAATAACATTAATTTTGATAAATGACATCCTCGAGCTCGAACTAATCCGAATAGTAAAAATGGCATTTACTATGTTGCCATTAGCAATTATTTAATTTTTTGGTTGAGTTCAGTGTTGAGTTCAAAAGTATAAGCTGAACATAGCCGCAAATTTCAAGTCTCTTTCGAGTCTGTTGTAAGTTGTAATCTAGCAACTGTTGATTTGACGATTGCCAAATCTATCCCCTAATCTACCAAAGTGTAATTGCTAAAAAATTTCTAATAATTAACTGCAATTAAACTCCAAAGAAACAAACATTTATCCATTGTTGTTTTATATAAATCAAAAATTGCAAAATGCTTAACATAATATAAACAAAATGTACTTTTCTACAGCTTTATATTTTTATATTTGAAGCATACAGCATTTCAGTCAGACACATCAGTCACGTCTCGTCACAGTCCTGGCGCCGAACCGAACAATCCGTCATACAAAATATTCTTTAATAGAAATATGGCGCCGGCATTCACATTCATAGCAGGCGACGAACAGTTTGCCAGCTGTCAGATAGTTGATAGTTCTGTGACCAAACAGGACCGGTTTGGCGTCGGGACTGATGTGTCTGAATCGACCTTTACAGTATAAAAACATGCCAACAACCGGTTTAGTAAAAAGTAAAGTACAAGCTGATCATAGCCGCAAATGTCAAACATGGAACAACAAATTTTCGGTAAAGCTGTGTTGGCATGTTTTTATAATGTAGATGCTGTATACTTTAAATATAAAAAGATAAAGCTTTAGAAAACTACATTTTGTTTATATTATGTTATGAATTCTGCAATTTCTGATTTATATAAAAAACAATGAGTAAATATTTGTTTCTTTGGAGATTAATTGCAGTTAATTATTAGAATTTTTTTAGCAATTATCCTTTGATGTTAGGGCAGATTTGGCAATCGGCAAATCAGCAGTTCCAGATTACAAAAGATGTTTGCAATTAATCTCAAAAAAGACAAATATCTACTAGTTATTGCTTCATGTAAATTAAAAATTACAGAATTCATAAAATAGTATAATCAAAATGTACTTTTTAAAAGCTTTATTCCTTTATATTTGGAGCATATAACATAATATGTAATATTATGTCTGTTTTTATTATCAATAAACAGACACGAGTGTCTTTCTGACATAAATCAAACATCATTATTAATCAATGTCATAATATATTCAAAATTAAAAATGTTTTGTGAATTTAATAATTTAATGGTTTAACCTCATGTTGTAAGTTTTTATATTAGTTTTATACAATGTTTTTCTAATTCTAATTTCATTGTATTTACCATAACATATTTTAGCATATCCTGATGAAGCAAATAAATTTTGCGAAAGCTTGATTTAAGAACAATGAGTTTTACTTATCCTGCCCTACTTAAATGACTGCATCCTAAAAATAAAACTTTATTTTATATATATATATATATATATATATATATATATATATATATATATATATATATATATATATATAAACATATGTTACGAGCAAAGCCCGAAATTGGGCAATCCTAGCATTGTACGTAAATTATTGTCCACTTCTAGCATTGTACCCCAAACTGTACAATGTCCGAAATGATCAAATTTAAAAATGATTATCGAGACGCTTATCGATTCGATTATTATTGACAAGCGACACAACAAATCAAAAATCGAACATTTGTTAATTATTTAATATTTTTTATTTTCTATTTACATACAAAGTTGTACTTTTTCGAATCGAGAACGTTATAAAATGCTGTCTCAAACTAAAATATAAATAATACGAAGAAATTGTTTTGCAATAGAGTGATAGATAAAAGCACATAAAAGTAGGTATAATGGTATATAAAAAGTTCCGTTGAAGAAACATCGAGCAAAAAGACAATAGAGGGAATGTAAAGGTAGTGGGGGCAAACATATTGTTAGACAGGAAGTGCGATCTTTAGAGGCCACTTTAAACAAGGAAAGAGAGTCTCTCTCCTTGTTTGACATCAAATTTAGTTGGGTTATGTTATTGTTTATCCCAAATGTCACGTGAAATGTTATTTATATTGAAGTTTTTTAACAATTGTGTCGCATTTTAGACTCTTATCATTAATAATTAATTAAAACTTTCTCGTCTAAGACACATTTTGAAAAATATTATATAGCTACTGTTGATAAGTGTCGGAAAAATTAAATTTCGCGCATTCGCATTTCCGGATATGTCCGCCATCAGAGGCCACTTTTTTGGTCTCCTTTTCATAAGGATTAGATTCCCTCTTTTGTCTTATTGCTCGATGTGAAGAAATGAAGGAAAGTTTTGTATTTGGCAGTGTTGTCATGTCGTTTTAATAAATCGCGAAAGAGCATGCGATATAATATTAATTCATTTTGTTAAGCATTATTTTTAAGTTTATAAATGAAGTTTAATTTTTTTTTAATTAAATATTTCAAGTTCCAGCAACTAACTAATAGATTAATTTAGGATTTATATCGTAATTGATGTTTGTTTGTCTTTAATATCAAATGGGGAATAATCATAAAAATAATCGATATCTGTCATATTCTTCCAAACTTTGACGTATTGCTACTTATCGACTTATTGAAATTCGAACATTGTACAGCAATTCCTTTATACAAAGTCCGACGATTATGTCTATTTCGGAGATTGTACAGTAAAGGGGTACAATGCTAGAAGTGGACAAGATTTTCCGTACAATGCTAGGATTGTTCAATTTCGGACGTTGCTCGTAACATATATATATATATATATATATATATATATATATATATATATATATATATATGTTGTTTACCAGTAACCCGTTACTGTCCTTGATATATATATATATATATATATATATAATATATATATATATATATATATATATATATATATATATATATATTCAGAAAATATATTTTAACAGCAATTTTCAAAACAATTTTTCATTGTAAAAATTATTTTTGTATACAATTGTTAATTATGTTTAACATAATGTACTGAAAATAATCATAGTGCAGAAATAAACAGGCGAATAGAGATTGCCAGATGAGTATTTATAAGAATGAAGCCACTCCTAACGTGCAAAAATGTAAATTTGGAGATCAGTCTACGTACCATTCGCTGTTATATATTTTCAATATTGTTGTATGAAGCTGAGACTTGGACATTAAAAAATGCAATTTAAAAAGAATAGAGGCTTTCGAACTCTGGTTATAGCGCAGAGTATTAAAAATATCATGGACTGATAGAATCACAAATAAAGAGGTATTGGAGAGGGTTGGTAAAGAAACAGAACTACTCACCACTATACAAACCAGAAAACTGGAATACCTAGGCCACGTGATGAGAGGAACAAAATATAAAATTTTGAGACTTATAATACATGGAAAGATTCAAGGAAGAAGAGCTGTTGCTCAAAGACAGAACTCATGGTTGAAAAATCTACGTGATTGATATCAATGCAGATCTATTGATTTGTTTAGAGATGCAAGTTCAAAAATAAAAATAGCCATTATGATTGACAACCTCCGTGTAGGGTGACGATACTTTAAGAAGAGACTGAAAATAAAAAACTAGCCTTTCTTCTTCAATAACGCATGTTTTTATTTTTTGCCACGCCAGATGAGGGTTAAAATAAAAGAGGGTTGGATTGAAAATTTATTTCAACACATTTTTCTTACAAATTACAAAACTATCTTTGGTTAAAAGTAATAAACTAATGAAAATATTTCTTTCCTACATATAAAATTGTTGGAATCTTCAAAAAATTCCATTCAATGAATCCCATTATCGTTCGAGACCATTTAAATAAATATTAATTCAAAAAAATTTTAAGATTCAGAAAAGTGTAAATAAAACGTGATTTTTGCTCTAATATATTAATAATTTTTTATTATCCAAATAGGGATTTCTTTACTTTTGCCTTTTCCTCAGCCTCCACTTTTTGCCTCTTGCGCTTCTCATAACCTGAAACATGATAATATAAATATAGTAATAATGAAATAATATTACTATAGTAATGTACAAATTTCGTTTATTTTACTAAATTTTGTATAACACTCAGTATATAGTTTATTTTTTGTAAGTATTTC